AGAAGAGCGTAGTCAATGTCACTTAAATGTGTATGTAAAAAAAATTTTTGAAATGGCGTATCTTTGGCTATGTGTATTTTCACCAAAAAAAAAGTTGAGTATTTAGAGGGTTAAAATGTTGTGGGGTTGTTAACCAATGTCATAAAACAGCATGTGTGATACTGTTACATGAGAAACTATCTGTTCTGTAAGCCTTCACCTGAAGTACAATAAAATATTAAAAAAAAAAAAAAAATCTGTGGCCAGTTAAGAGCCAGAAGTATACCACATTAAGTGTTAAAACAGACATACCTTTAAGTTTTGATGATATGAATGTTACCAAAATATTTGTGATCTAAAAAAGCTTATAAGTTTTTACCTTAAAATATGTTTTATGATAGTTGTTATTTTCTCTGTTAACATGAGTGGCCAAATATGGAAGAAGTAAAAGGAGAGTCATCCGCAGCAGTTAACCTGGGCCTTAGAAGTGGAGTGCACGTGTTTGTGTGCGTGTGAGTGTGGGTGCATGGCACACTGCATGGCTTCTCTTTGCCGTAATTAATTTCCTCCTCATCATTAAATACTTCCTGTTTCCTGTCTTATAGATGACACAGGCTGTCCTAGTAGTCAATCAGTGTCTCCTGTGAAGACGCCCTCAGATACTGGAAACAGCCCTGTTGGCTTTTGCCCTGGAAGTGATGAAGACTTTACCAGAAAGAAATGCATTATTGGAATGGTTGGTGAGGGAAGTGTCCAGTCAACTCGATATAAGAAGGAACAAAAGTCAGGCCTTGTAAAGCCAGGTAAGCGTACTTACTGGTTGTTTTTATCAGAGCAGTATGACTGGAGTGATTTCAGATTTGAAACAAAACACCAATGTATCAATTCAGGAAACACTAATGATGTGCTCTACCCAAAACATCATATTTGTTTTGGTTGTTTTTGTTTTTTTTTTTTTTAAAGGAGATGGGGAGAAGAGTGGAATATTTTCTGTAGTGGTTGTTAATTGTTGAATAAGTAAAGTGACAAAGAAGGAGCAAAGTTGAATAAATTTAAGCTGGTTGATCTAACAGACATTTAAACTATATAATAAGTCTAAATTAATTATACTAAGAATTACTTGGTACCATCTAAAGTGACCACAAATTATGAAAATAACAGGTTATCTTGATGCAGATCTATAGAGTTGGGCATACCTGCTAACATAGTTATTTTATTTGCTTTTAAGGATTTAAATATGAATATGATGTCACATGTCTATACATATATATAGAAGTTGAATAATTACAAAATATTTAAAGCTGTGAGATGAAATGGAGATAATTATTGTGATAAGTAAGATGCCGTGAACATCAGAAAAGTTCATTTCTCAGGATTTGCAATACGTATCTCAGAAATCTGTACAGTGTATGAACAAATATAGTTTTAGTCAGAGTTACAACGATAAAGTAAAAGGACATGGGCTTTGGCATTGAAAGACAATCTCTACCTGGAAGTCTTTTCTTTAACATTGACTGCTATTTACTGTACATATTTATGAGCCTGAAAAGACAGAGTAATGTCTTACCTGAGCATTCATTCTTTACATTTGTCTTCTAATCTTTGGTGATAACATTATTGTGCAAGGAGCTAATGATGGCTTTATTTTGATGGAGATGGGATGTGGTCCTGTGTCCTCTTCCATTAGATGCTAGCATCTCGTCTGCTTTCGTTCTTATAACTGATGTGCACACCACTTCATAATGGATTATTCTTCATCTTGCTTTCTGTCAACCAAATGTTCTTTAATTTCAGAGCAGAACTTTAACTGTGTGAAAAAGAAATCCCCTATTTCCTAAAGGCACTTAATACATGTTAGTCATAATGAACTTGTTAATAATCATCACTGTGGGATAGTATGAGAAAGGGAGTGATACGCAAAGGCAACATATAAGAGAAAGATGGGGATTTCAAAAAGGGTGTTGGATACCCTCAATACTTAGGAAAGAGAGAAAGACTTAAAGAATTTCATGTAATTGTAGCCAAGAAATAAAAGCATTTACCTTGCATACCCAAGGACGAGACTTGCCTGCCCTCCCTCCCCACTTCAGTTGTCGTTTCGTTGTTGTTGTTGAGTATAATTCCTATACCATAAAATTCATGGGTTTATAGAGTACAATTCAGGAGTTTTTATTATATTCAAAAGGTGTGCAACTATCACCACTGTCTAATTTGAGAACATTTTCATAACCCCAAAGAAGAAACCCCATACCCTTTAGCAATCACTCCCCTTCCCGCACCACCCCCCCACCCTGCCCCGACTCCCCTCCTCTGCTCCTGGCAACCACTAAACCACTTTCTGTCTCGGTGAATTTGCCTGTTGTGGACATCTTATATCAATGGAATCATACAATTTGTGACCTTTTGTGTCTGGCTTCTTTCACTTAACATAATGTTTTCCAGGTTCATCAATGTTGTAGCATAGATCAGTACTTCATTCCTTTTATGATTGAATAATATTCCTTTGTATGTGTAGACCACATTTTGTTTCTCCGTTCATCAGTTGATAAACATTTGGGTTTCCATTTTTTGGCTATTACAAATAATGCTGCTACAAATATTCGTGTACAAGATTTTTTCAGTTCTTTTAGGTATTAAGCCTGTTAAATTGATTGCTACTCTTAGCCACCCTGTAGGACAGAGTAGTACTGCTCCATAGGGTTTCCAAGGAGCAGCTGGTGGATTCAAACTGCAGACCTTTTGGTTAGCAGCCAGGTTCCTAACCACTGTGCCACCAGGGCTATGAAATTGCTGGGTCATATGGTAATGCTGATTCTGGATCATAAAGGTAATTCCTTTTTGAGGAACTGCCAAACTTTTCCAAAGGGGCTGTACTGTTTTACCTTCCCACCAGCAATATATGAGGGTTCCAGTTTCTCCACATCCTTGCCAACATTTGTTATTGTATGTGTATTTTATTATAACCATGATAGTGGGTGTGAAGTGAAAGCTCATGTGGTTTTGATTTACATTTCCCTAATGGCTAGCGACCATGAACATTTTTTCATGTGCTTATTGGCCATTTGTATGACTTCTTTGGGGAAATGTCCTCAATTGTCTTTTAACCTGGGAGTAATTGCCAGTGGAATTTGCTTCTCCAACATATGAGATGTAAGTTTAAGAGCAAGAACTCTTTTTGTATTCACAGCACACAGGGTCTCGGTGCATAGCAGGGGCTCACTCAATATATGTTGACCTCAATAGCAAGGGTAGGCTGTGGTTTGAGAAAATAAAACGACGCAGGAAAGAATGTCAGCTTGGGGGATTGCAAAGAAAAAGTAGATTTCATCGTGAAAGTATTGGAGAATTTGAATGTAACCTGAAATTACTTAAATTTCGTTTTCTCCCCCTACCTCATTCCAAAAACATTTTAGACAATGGCAATATAAGGAGACATATAGTAAAACAGGAGACAAGTATGGTGTAGCAAGAACAAACCTAAGTTTAAGTGGGAGTTAACATTGTCATTGCTCTTCCTTGTTTCAGTAGTCATAATAATACTCATCTGTTAAAACAAGACTTCTAAAACCACCCTGTGTGTACATTCAGAATTCACACTGAGCAAGTCCGTAATCCAGCAGAAAGGTACTTACTTGCTAAAGATCAGCCAGTTGTCTTGCTGAGAGTGTTTATGGCCTTTGGTCTTTATGAAGAAATTGCAGACAAAAAAGAAAGGAAAGAAAAAACAAGAACTGTTGTTCTTAATGCTGTTTTGATTGAAGGATCCTTTGAGAATCATGAAGGCTAAGGACGTGTACTCCAGAAAAATTCTCATGTGCACAAAATATATTACATACTATTTCTAAGGTTTCACGGATCCTTTTTAGGATTTATTGATCCTAGGCTAATGACCCTTGCCCAGAGAGAGAGCCCGAAATTCTCACTTTTGTCAGCTGCTTCTGCTTTAATTGCTTCTAGGCATCAGTAACACCTAAGGAGTCCTTACCTGGTGATCTCTTCATTTATTTGCTTTCAACCAATGTCTAACGGATCCTTAAAGTTTATTTCTTAGTTGCCTAAAATAACTAACATCATCACTCAAAAAGTTGCTAGAACTTTCGAATGGGACCCAATTCTGTACCGTAATCTCTTTGTATTTGAGAAGAATCTGCACCGTGACCTATAGTTCTCTGAACTTTCAGCAGTAAAAACCTGTCAGGCTTATAAATACATAGAGAGGAAATCCTGGAAGTGAGGCCCCTGGATGACTCCAAAATTTAAAAAATGAAGAAACAATCTGGTAAACCGCAGAAGGTACTATTCTCAGGTCAAAATGTTCTGCCTCCCCTATAGCCCCAAGTGAACACCTCCCTTTCACCCAAAACTGATCTTCAGCTTGTGATGTGTGCTCTATTTTTTAAAATAAATTGACTCATTAAAACCAATACCAATTTATTAAAATAGCAAGCAATTAGTGGCTCTTATACAGGTGCTCGGGCTCTTTAATATTAAATAACTTAAGCCCATTTAATTTTAGGTTCGTTGTTCTAGATTCTAAAACAGTGAAGTACACCTCAGAAAGGAGGTACTTAAATGCTCCTTTAAGATAAAAATCTCGAGTTTGAGTATTTGATTCGAGGCATTTGCTAGAAAACTCAGCTCAAGTTCACGTTGGAGATGGGGAGTTACACAGTTTAACAACTAATTAGAAAATATGAAAGGAAAAAATATATCACAGGATTCTGGGAAGGGCTTGGAAAGGTGAGCTGGGCAAGCCTGCACCTTTCCAGCTGGGCACTGTGGCACGCACAGCATGAAAGGCCCTCCTTCCTCCAGGCGGGAACTGGTTCTGGAACTTCTCGGAGGCAGTGAGCCTTCTGTCATTTTGGCTCCTATAACTTAATGCCTATGCAGATTTAATTAAGAATCTCCACCAGTGAGCAAAAGAAAACATTTTTACTGTCCAGTTGGATAATGGGTTTGTGTTTTTTCATGTTTTCCTTTCATCCACAAGCCAATTCAGCAAACGTTCAAGGCTGAATCTCTGAGCAGAATGCCATGTTGCCTTAAAGTTGTGTTGTTAGGTGCCTTTGAGTCGATTTCAACTCACAGTGACCCCATTGTGACATCAGGTAGGTATTCAATAAATACTTGATGAGAAATAGAATGTCTACTTGGTGCAAGGAATTTTGTTTAGTGAAGAGGGACCAGGGAAAGATGGAGCAAAAAATGCCCTCCATGTCTTCCCTGGTTCTAGTAGTTTATAATCTAAGGCAGAATACTGTTTAGTAAGTGTGGACAGATAAAAAGAGAAGGAATGAAGCCGCAAGTACTCAGCTGCTAACCAAAAAGTTTGGTGGTTCGAATCCACCAGTTGCTCTGCAGGAGAAAGAGGTGGCAGTCTGCTTCCATAAAGATTTCAGCCTTGGAAACCCTTGGGGCAATTCTACTCTGTCCTGTAGGGTCACCAAGGGCTGGAATAGACTCAGCCACAGAGGGTTGGAATGATAGTGTTCCTCCTCCCCGATGCTGCTTCTATACTTAGCTTGCAGTAAGTTTCAAGATGAGACTGTTTTTACGCAGAAATGAAAGGCCTAATTGGATTGGTGCTCAGGTACAATAAATCACATTCTATGGCCTCCTCAAATGCTTGATTTACTACTTGGGGAGTATCTTAGCCCAGGGAAGAAAAAGACCCAGTGTCATTGTTTTACAAGTAGAAGTACTTTTCCCACAAAGCTAGTTGGAGAGTTGTGGGAGGGAGAATTACACAATTTAAACAACTAATTAGAAAATATGAAAGGAAAAAAACACCTTAGTGGAT